CAATGATTTCGCTAAACAGCGATTTCAGTGGAACGGATTATCATCGTCTAGCGAGGCACACTGTAAATTAGCACAACTGCTTTACGTCTTGGAAAAAAGGGGTGTCAGCTCTCAGGTACATTTTAAATATGATGATATTCATTCAAGATTTGTATATGTGCTCTTAAATAGAAATATAGAGGCCCTATTTTAAATTGTGTACAGTATATGTAAAACTGAAAAGTGACACCCATCTGAAAAGATCTTGCATATATATCTTTTGATTTTCATCTCTGTGACAGTACAAATAATTGTAACTAGAACGTTTATTTTCTAGCATTCTTTCGTAATTTTTAAAAAGCTTGGACCCCAGTTCAACAAGGTAATGCATGCACTCAAGCAAAAGCATGAGAGGTTTGTCAGTTTTTAATCAGAACTGTAAGAGCTGGCTTCACTAGGCCATTACAGTATCAAATCTCCAAGTATGAACAAAGAGAAATTAATCTCAAGAATAAGACATGTACACATCTCCCTTCAAAAATGCTGGGGTTAGGGGGACAGGATCCCCCTGAAGTTCAAAATCTGTGCATAACTCTTATGCCCCAAAAACATAACTACAAAGCAGAAACAGTTGATTCACACACAGAGAGACCTTCCCCAACCCATATCAGTCTCCCCTGAGGTAAGGTAACCCCACCTTTCTCAGGTCAGTTTTGGGATATCAATAGCAGCACAGTAGTCACTGAATATTTATTTACTGAATATTTACTTATTTATTGAAATATTTATGTATGCATTTTAAAAATCTGTTTATCACCAAAACCATGCTGCTCAGACCCATGCTATTCAAGGGAGAAATGTATACTGCATTTTTCACACCACCCAAGCAAAGTTTTTTCTAGTCTTTCCTGTATTCCTGTTATCATATATCATGACTTCATAGAGTTACTACTTATTTCAGAATTTGGAGATAGAAAAGTGTGTCACTGGCTGAAATCCTGTTGCCTAGTGTAGTGACTTGCACTATAGTAGGCTCACTCAATCAGTAGGGATTTGATTAGTCAATTTCTCCATAAATTCAACTGATTTAAATGAGTCTACTCTAGCTGCCACTTACTTTAGCATAGGAAGTCACTACTAGAGCAGGCCCATTTGAATCAGTGGATCTTATGGAGGAGCTGACTCACCAAATCCCCACTCATGGGGCCTACTTTAGTGTGACTTACTATGCTATGCCAGAGGGTTTCCAAAAATGTGTATGTTACTACAGATGACCTCCCTGCCAAATTTTACACACATAGGCTACTATGAAAGATACCATGGAAATTATTTTTTACTACTAAGAGCAACAATAACATAGGACTTTGCTCCCTACACTAGAAATTACGCTTTAATCTGAAGTCAAAGTTGCAATTTATTTCTTAAATTCCTCATCAAATTGATGAGACCCATAACTACTGAAAAAAACATGTGTGCAAACAGAAGTACTAATTACAATTCCAAGTTATTTTCTTAGCCTACAAGTTCCATAGTATTATCACTTTACAGAGCATGGCACATCAAATACGGATATCTTAGCATGCAAACTTACTGACACCTGTTATTATAGCACTTTTTATTACAATACTGTACACAAGGAACATATTTGCTAACTAGGAAAGTGATTATTATTTGAAGCATAACTTGTGCGCTTGGCATCCCAGGACCTAACCCTTCTTTTGACAAGTTTAAGTCAAACAAGTCACAGTACCTGCTAATGGCTTTTGAGCATTAAACACTTTCTTTTAATAGAGGCATTTCGATAATATAACTAGCAGTCAGTTTTAAGACTTCTAGCTTGCTGTGACCAGATTATAATTTTATGTACAGTACATTGTTATCTGACCTCATTCAACAACCCCTTCTAAGAAAAAAAATAAAAAGAAATCAAAGAGTTTGGAAATTGTTGAGCACCTGGTTCAGTTTTCACTTGTCTCAAAAAGTAATTCCATTACAAAATGCTCTGAAATACAAAGTTTATCAAAATAATTACAGAGTGTTTTACGATGGCCAGACTTAAACCTAACTGAAAAATGGTAACCTTAAGCTCCTTCTGCTTCCCCATTTCCTGTTATACTTTAAAATAACCTCTACAAACATTTAACACGATAATATAAAGTAGTCTGGCAATTCTCTTAGAATCTAATTTCTGAATTTAATGGAAGATCTCTCCTACCCAAAAATAAAATACATAATTCTGCATACAAAGCACATTATTTGCTCTGAATTCCCTTGAACTAATTTTTAAATCAAGATGAATTCACAAGTACTAAAACAAAATTTCCACAGGGGAAGAAAATCAGGGGAAAATAAAGCCAGCATTTATGACACCCTGGCAATTTATGTAAGTTCTTTATGAAGCAAACACCACAGAGAAGACCTCATAAAACTGATTAATTTGAAGTTCAAACTGTTAGGTATAATGCTATCAAGATAAAATACCACCAACACAATTACACTTTGGACCTTCTAAAATGTTTTTGTACTTTACCTCCAAAAATAATCTGGATGACTAGGTGATTAACCTTCACTGCTTAGTAATTTCCTTCATATCTTATGTTTACACAAAAGGAGAAAAGTGCCTCCAAATAGTACTTGGGACTGTGAGGAGAACGAAAAAGTAAAGGGTGTAGCTCCTATACAGTGCATTGTTGTTGTTTTTCAAAATTTGTAGCATTTATGATTGCTATCCTTATATAGTTATTCCCTTTAAGTATTTCTGCCAAAGCTTCAGCAAAAAATATCAATGCCAACTTTGCAAGCAAAACACATAATTTCAAGCGCAAAACAGATATTTCCCAAAAACTAGCAGGGATAGTAAGTCAAAGCAACAGCGCTTATGATGACTTAAAATATTTTAAAGGAAATGTGCACTGTGGTTGGTAGTCTCCTTATACATTCACAGCATACAGTTCAAAAAAGCTATTAGATGAGAAAATAAATTTATAATCAATTCAAGCAAATAATCTCCTAAGTACCTATAGTCAGAAACTAATCCAAATTAGATCCAAGTACACACACATCAAGAGAGATTTTAATACATTACATCCTGTAGCATTTCCAAAAAGCAAGATGGAGACTTTTTTCCAAGTCAACAAGTATCTCTGTACCACCTTCTTGATATAACCAAAACAAAAAACAAAAACACTCAGATGTCATGGTAGTCACAGTAAACTCTTTTAGGCCCTGGACTATTTTTCTGGCAAGTAAACTAAAACCACAGTGCACTGAATATTGCTTAATAAACTACTAAATAAAAAACCAGATACTCTGTACTTAAAATAACATCTATTTTTTTAAATACCTTTAATTGGAAAATACAAATATCTGAGAAGAAATAAAAATATAACCAAGTTTTTATTACATAATTGTGGAACATAAGTCAGAAAGACCTGTTTCTTAAAAACAGATGTGTAGGTTTGCAATAATAAATAGAGTCACAGTACTAGAGAGTGATTTGTTAGTTTAACTTAATATAATTAGCAAGCTTCCCTTCTATCTAAAAAATTAAGATCTTATCTTAAAATGGACCATTCTAATTCCTCTCCTTCTTACATTATATGTACTGCTTTCATTTTAAAATAAGAAAGCTATAAACCTAAACACAGTTACTATGCAGTAAGCCACTGTGAAAATCTGGGATAACTTCCAAATAAGCATTAGTATTATTATACAGTACCATCAACAGTATTGTATGAAATGAGGAATAGTTATGTCTTATGTGCATTCTCTTTACATACAGGCAAAAGGCATTTGTGTCCTAAGGAATCATAACAGAAGTATGTGGGATTTAAAAAGACATTTAGGATGGAAATCTGCATGTATTTACCTGGGGATAAGTCCTATACAGCTTAACATGGCTCCCTTCTCAGTAGATGTGCATAGCCAGACATGCTGTTAAATTGGCAGCAGTCTCTTCAGTATTAAAAGGCTTCTTAAAAGCAAAATCAGGCGTGAAAATTAATATCATAGAAAACATCATTTCCCTTAACTTTCTGCAGCTTTCCACCTGCCTCCACATTTTATATAAAGTGACAAGACTATTTTTTTCCATCTTCTTTGGATTCCTATACAAGTTACTATCTTCGAAACCGACGAATCTGCTCACCTCCATCCATATTCACAGGGTTTAGGAATAACAGGTTTTCATCAAGACATGTGCCTAAGCTCCGAGATTCATTTGGATCAAAAACTAAGTACATTCTAACGATCTATTATTACAGGACCGACCAACATAAACTCACTAACCATCATTTTTTGACCCGAGACGCATACTGGACTTGGCACTACCGGCGACAGAGAGCAGGGCTAGCTACTCCTGGGTCACCGAACACGTCGTGGTTGGGAAGCGAAAAGCAAGGACCCAAATGGATGGGTGAGGATACCGTCCATACCAACAAACAAACAAACAAACAAAAAAAGGGGAAGAAGAGAGGGGCGTGGTCACCCCACAACAATCCTAACCTACAACCACCCCATCAACGGTAACTTTTCCGACCCCACATCATCCTCTCATCACGGCCGGGCCCGGTATGACGGGGGTGAACCCGAACATTTCCTTCCCTGACCTATTCGGACACAGCCCGGCCCGGCCCACCCCCTTCCCCTAAACAAAGGACCCTCTTCCCCCTCCACCACCGGAGGGGGGCGGGAGAGGTAGAAAAAGAGAGGCCAGGCCGGAGTGGGCGGGGCGGAACCTAGGCCCCAGCTGCTCCGTGAGGCGCGAGGCGGAGGGCAGGGGAGCGCGCAAGGAGCGGCTAATCCGCGCGGGAGGAAGAGAGGGAGCGCGAGCGAGCGCGCGCGCGCGCACGGCCAGTCAGCGAGCGGGCCGGCAAACGAAAGAACGAGGAACAGGGTGGGGGAGGGGCGCGGCGCGCTTTTGCCTTCGCTGTGTGGAGAGAGGGAAAAGGGGGGGGTCACATAACGGGAAGCTTCCCTGCGCCCACATGCTCCGCTCTCCTTCCCCCCCCCCGGTCCCTCACCCACACAGCGCAGCAGCCGATGTCGCCACGAGTCGAGCTGGTGGCGGAAGCCGCGCCTCTCGATGGAGCACTCCTGCCGCCCGCACGGACTCGCCATCTTCTGGGGGAGGGGCCCCAAGCCACCGCCGGCACGCCCGCCGTCTGCGTCATATCCACGTCACCGCGCACAGCCATGCGGAGGCGGGGGCCACCGCTGGCAATTACCGCCCAAACCAAAGAGGGGGTGGGTGGGTTCGTTGCCCTGGCAACCACTGCTAGGTTAAGGACGAAACCTTTCTGGTTGGTAGATGCAAGTTTAACATGAGCCGGAGTTCTTTCCCTGCCTTCTGCACCCGTTGGGCAATGATTTGCTGTCGTTCTAGAAGGCGGATAAGAAACGTTACAAAAGCAAAGTAAGAGCTAAAAAGCATATATAAAAATAATCATAATACCTGCATTGATCTGACTTTGTACGAGCTTAAGCAGCACTTCTGCTGAAAAGACGGGAGAAATGATTGCTCTGTACCCGAGGGACTGATGCCCAAGTAAATAGGCATGGAGTTGTGATAATAAAGGAGAGAATGTTAAATTTGACAACTGCATAATACATATTTCAAATATTTTCATTAAATTTAAATTTCTAAATAGAAATAGTACACAAAACTGGACTAACAATTATCTGTGTTTAATATACTACACCGATGTTTTAGACACACTGCATTAGAGCAAAACCCTGCCTTAACATAAACCTCAACGGTAGAAAGGTTTTTCATGTTTTCACATTTATCGCCATGGCATTTTTCATAGTATTCAAGTTAAGATGTCTTTTGTTCTATGAACAAACTCCCTGAGCAAATGCTGCAATGACACTGTGTTCTCAAACAAGCCATATCATTAGAAGCCAGTATTTCATCTGATATATAGTAAATAAAAACAGCCTTCAGATGTTCAGCTCTAACCTGTATGGCTCAAAAGCTTGCTGCTAACCCATTCACCATTGTTAAGCAGGAGGGAGTTCCAGGGAAAGTGTTATTTTACATGTGTTCTTTTTTTTTAAATGAGAAACTGCTAATAACTTGAAGGTGCTTCTAGAACAAGTGGTTCATTAACAAAAATAGGCAAATGATCTCTAATCAAAGGCAGAAGTCTTCTACAAAAAAACTTGGGAAGACACCAAGGTAAGACATTGGAGCTGCAAACTGCTGTTTGTTTTCTCTGTGAAATGCCTGCCTCCCTTCCCTCACCTGCAGGAATGCCACCTTTTCTCCAGGTACTAAGTGGTATCTCATTCTAAAATAGAGTTGGGTTTCCACCTATCAGGAAAACATCCCATAAGCTATCCTATTAAATAACAATCTGCAACACTGTTCTAGAGCTATACTGTACTGTACGCAGTGGTTCTTAACCTTTTTGAAAGAAATGCCCCCTTGAGCCATTGAGGAAGTTATCATCGCCCCCCTCCCTGAGGTGA